GTAAGGTATCCCATGGTGGTTTTCCAGTCTGATTTAACGGTGGCTTCTCGTTGTAAGGTATCCCATGGTGGTTTTCCAGTCTGATTTAGCGTTGGGTAAATTAGGTGTAGTTTCAGTTCTGTTCTTGAAATGCGAATCAGAACAGAGAATGAGTTTTGCTTTTGGTGTTTCTGCATGTGCTTACCAGCTTGGCTGAGGTTCTGTTTATTCTGAGCTACTCTTGGGCACAGGTTATACCCTTAATTTAGAAGTACTCATGGCTCCGTAGAGGTTGCTTCTGGGATCATGGCTCGCACTTTCTGTATTAGTCCATGGGGAGATGTTCTGTGCAGTAAGTATTAGAGCTGACGTTTTTACCCCGGAGCTAGAATATGAGCCAGATAATGGACAGCTCTAGACGATGCTGACTCAGTGTGACTCGAGAGGACAGGCGAGAACTGCCCTCTGGGTTTCTGAGACTGGACCCTTTATGGGAGTAGAAAGCCCTGTATTTCTCCTGAAGAGCGGCTGGCTGTTTTGAACTGCTGACCTTGCCGAGTTCAGCCCACCGAGTAACTACTGTGCTACCAGGGCTCCACAGTGAACTGAGGTGCAAATTAAACAATAACTTAAAATTATGCACTTGTGGTTAGGAAATTTTTAAATGCTCATAATCAGAATGTTGGGATATATAGATCTTCTCACAAACAAGAGGGTACCCCCCAAAAAGGGAATTTGTTTTGGGGTTTTTTTTGTTTTTTTGCAAAGCTATGTATATTTCAATTTTTTTATAAAACAACCTTATCACCTTCAAAGTACTCTCCAGTACACTTAATACATTGTCAAATTTGCGATTCCATTCTTGGAAACACTTTTCACACTCATCTGTATGGATGGCTGACAGCACCTCCATTTTTTTCTTAACTTCTGCTACGTTAAATCACTGTCCTCTCATCCTTCTTCATTCTTGGGAACCAAAAGAAGTCACATGGAGTGAGGTCAGGTGAGTAAGGTGCATGGGACTAGAGAGGCATGCTGTTTTTTGCCAAAAACTGGCTTACTGAGATGGCTGTGTGAGCAGGTACATTGTTGTGGCAAAACCAGTCCCCTGTCTGCCACAAATCAGACCTTTTTTGTTGCACACTGTTCGGCAATGTTCTCAGAACTTCTAAATTGAAAGTTTGATTAACAATCTGACCTGGTGAAATGAACTCTAAATGCACTACAAATTGACATTTTCATCTATTTGGGAAGTTGAAGGACGTCTAGAACAAGATTTGTCATCCATCAACATTTCACCTTTTTTGAAATGAGAAAACCACTTATATACCTGAGATTTTCCCATAGTGCTGTCCTTGTAAACTGTATGCAACATCATAACAGTTTCTGCGGTATTTTTCCCAAACAGGAAACAAAATTTCAAAGCCGCCTGCTGTTCTCTTAAATCGGCCATCACAAAAAACGAGGTTCCAGCAAAACTGCTTTTACAAATAAGTTCACCATGACCAGAGATAGCCTTCCCAGGCAATGCCACTGTGTGCAATAACTCAGAGCAAGTTGCTCGATATTCACCTAGCAGGAAAAATGCATACCACGAAAGCTCTGCCCAGCGGAGCTTTTTTCCTTTTTTGGGGGGGTGGGGTGGGAGTGGGGTATACCCCTTGTGTACTATTGTTGTATTAGTGTAAATTGGTACAAATATCTTGAGCTCTTGGTAGTATTTACTTCACAGGTATCAAAAACTTACAATGTTTTTACAGACTGGGTTAACCAATAGTGACACATGGTCCTTGCCCTCTTAGTGCTTGGGAAGACCAAAAAAAAAAAAACAACAATAAAATAATCCACCAATAAAGAAAACCTGTGTTGTGTTGTTGGCTGCTTTTAAGTTGGTTCAGGTAATGCATGGAAGAAATACATTGTGCCATGCTAACATTTATTAGGGGAAGATGTCATCTTGTTAGCTCTGCAGCGAGGATTGCACTGAGATTGGAGGGCCTTGCACGTGCAGGAGGGAAGGCTCTCGGGAGAATGGATGTCATGCAGAAGGAGATGGAAGGTAGAAGTAGCAGAGCATGTTCTAGGCCAGAGCTAGGAGAAGGGAAGTGTGACTGGCGTGAGGACAGTGCGGTACATGGAGTCGGAGTAAGCAGTACCATGCAGGTCAAGTTAAAGACTTGGGGTCAGGATCAGATGATAATAATAATAATTGGTGCTGAATTGAGAGGATGAGAGTGACGCCATGAGACCAGTTAGGAGGTGTGGCAGGGCAATTTTGAATATCTTAAAGGACGTACTGGGGAATTGGATGCCACTAGACAGTGTATTTGCACTGGGTGAACAAATTAGTTATGGTACTTAGAGTAAAAAGGGAACTTAACACAGTAATTTCATCCATTTATATAAAAATACTTAAGACTGTGCATCTTTTTATATATCAAAACATATATGTCCATGAAGATTTTTTTTTAGAAATAAATGATCTGGCAATGCAGAAATAAAAACATTAAGTACTGTGGAAATAGATAATAAAGTAAAATAGCAGTGAAAAGAGAGTACAAAATGTCCAAGTATTTTTGTTGCTCATTTCTTTATCATTAAACTTAAAGGTTCCAGTTTGGAAGCAGATCATGTAATAAAGAGAAACATCTTTGAAAGAAAGGGCAAACTTGCCCACCGTAGTAATTTTATCTTCTGTGTTAGGGTGTGCCTAGGTATATGCCTAGTTAGGGTAGTTGAGGTGGACGTACTTGCCCACCTTAGTAATTTTGTCGTCTGTGTTCGTTATATGCCTAGTTAGGGTAGTTGATTTTTTTAAACAGGTAAACTTCAATTCAAAAGAAAGTAGAAAATAATAAAAACTAAAAAGTTAAAAATGGGTCAAAAGAGAGAACAACTGGTAAGATGTGAAATTTTAAGCCAACTACAATACATCTGCCGTAATCCATTTTCCAATGCGCTCTGTGGACAAAATGATTCACTTACCTGGTCAGTGGTTGGAGGGAGTCCAGTGGCGGCTCAGTCCGTGTAGAGACTGCAAATGGATTTTGGGGTTTCACTGTCATCCATCACTCCCTGCAGACCAGGTGCTCAGAATTTAACCTCTTAGACAATTCCTTCCTCTCATTTTGGATTTGATGATTTGCAATCCTTGGATCACATGGATGACTGCTTATTTTAAGGAACCCTTTTATTTATTTTTTTACAGTTTTATTGGCATTTCATCCATATGTCATACATTTCAATAATTCAGTCATATCAAGAAGACTTGTACATTCATTACCACAATCAATTTTAGAACATTTTCTTCTTCCTTAAGCAAGCCTTTAAAACTCCAAGCGTATTTATTCTGATAGCTGGGGGCCATCTGCTTTCTTTACACACTTTGCTTTAGCACCCACATCTTCAGTGATCACAAGGGCAAGTATCAAGCAAGGCCAAATCAAAGAACTAATTTTTCTTAGGACTTCGAGTTAAGTGTGAGCTCAAAGTCCATTCATATATCTAAGGTTTATATGTGTTCCTGGTCAACTTTAGAGGCAGCTTCTTGAGAAATAACATAGGTGATCAACAGGGGACACTTGGTATTTCTAATAGTATCGTTAACCTAGCAAATAATGAATTTAAAATACTAATTAGAAAAGTAAGATATGTATATGTAGGAAAGCTTACTATGCTAAGATATATTGAGCATTCATCTTTATGGACTAGGGAGTTATGTGGCTGACCAGTGCTGGAGGAAACAAAAGGTTGGATATAAGGCAAAAACTTTGACTGCCTGCAGAACTGAGATGTCACGAAAAGCAAAGAAAATCTGAAAGTGGTAAATGTTTGTCATAAATTGTCAACCTGGTTGAATTTTCATGAAACAATGGTCTTTTTTTTTTTTTTTTACAGATGAACAAACTGATTGAATATTACCAGCAACTTGCCCAGAAAGAGAAAGTTGAGCGTGATCGCAAGAAACTGGCAAGGCGTCGAAATTACATGCCTCTTGCTTTTTCGGTGAGGATTTGGTACAAAAAGGACTTATGGCTCATTGATGAATTTGAATGACATGAAAATAGTGACCACTTCAGGAAGTGATCTTTGTATCTGGGTTTCTGAATGGTGGGTAGGAGAGAGGTTCCTCAAGGGATCGATGCTTCAGTTCAACAGTTAGGCTTTTTGCCAGGCCATTTGTCCATGACGTTGAGTCGTCAGACAGTGGTGTGTACCTCTCTCCATTACTAACTACTATAGATGCCCACAGAACTCTTAGAGCAAGTAGAGAAGGTGGACAAGTGGTTGATAGGATTGCTATTGCCCATGTAGTCCACCTGTGGCTTCCTGGGAAGGGCAGTGAACATTCTTTTTTGTCCCTTCCCATATTACATACTGAAAAACACTGCATTTTATGCACTGCATTTGTGTGGTCATACAAATTACAGTCTATTCAAATGGAATATTTTTAATAAGACTCGTTTGTGGAAATCATTCTTTACTAGCTTATCTACTATCAATCTGAAGCAAAAGAAATAGGCTTTGGAGCTTTTGTTATTTCCTCCAGATTTATTTGCTATAACAGAACAAGTTATTCTCTGCTTCCTTACTTGGGGCTAAGCAATGGACATTTAATAAAGAACATTTTTTAAATTCTGACAGTGTACCAAGCACTGTGCTAAGCACTCTACACATACTTTATTTAACCTTCACTGCCATCCTGTGGGTAGATGATGTTTTCCACTTGAGTTCAGACCAGGGAAGGATATGTAACTACTCACACTGCTTTCACTCGTGAATTGGTTTAAGCCTTTTGAAACCCTGAGGATTGGTAAGATCCACATAAAAGTACTTATTTCAGAGTTGATAAACCATTTAAACATACTAAACATTGTCAGAAATGTTAATGACGTCTTAATGACCCTCTCCAGTGGTGTCATCAGCATGGGGCCCCATTTGTATTTAGGAGGAGAATTTAAATTAAGTGAATTACTCTCCCAACCTTCCCACATAACCTTCCTGCCTGCAGTCTGAGTTTGCGCCCGTCTTATGCTGCATTGTTTTTGTCTCTGTTGCCACCTGCTGCTCTCGGGGGCTCCTCACAGCAACACACAATTCATGTCGCGGTAAGTCTCATCTATGGTTCTTGCTGGCCCAAAGGACACGAGCGGACAGTGTCTAGGCAGACATTGGCTGTGTGCCTCAGGCACTTCACATCAGCTGTAGCTTAGATATTTTTATGCTAGTTTGAATCTTCCTGCCTGGTACTTCTATTACTATTAAAGAACAGGATCATGGCTTGGGGCTAGATGCAAGGAGGCTTTAAAAAGTTTGTGGAAAAATTACATTGTCTCCTACTCACATCTTCCATGAACTTTTTGAAGCCCTCTCCCCCCCACACACCCATATTTTTAAGAGTTTCAAATTAGCTTTTTTTTTTTTTTTGGCCTGTTTCCCTAAGCTTCTCATGCTGTCCCTTCCACCAAAGCCCTTTTAGAAAAATTAATAGGCTGTTTAATGTGGAACTTTCCATAAGAATTTCTGAACTCTCTCTAGGACAAATACGGTCTTGGAACCAGACTTCAGCGCCCACGAGCTGGTGCTTCCATCAGTACCCTGGCTGGACTTTCGTAAGTGTGGGTCTTCGGTGGCTTTGAGGAGCAAAACAGATGGCAAATTGAATATTGAAGAAATAGGATAGAGTTTCCTATACATAGAAAAGGTGGATTGGAGTGCAGGATGTGACATATCAACCAATATATATTTTACAGTGGACATATCAATTACTGATAGCACAGACTTGGAGGATAATCAAGTTGACCCTTGAGAAATCACTGTGTTTTCTCTTTTAGCCTTAAAGAGGGAGAGGACCAGAAAGAGATAAAGATTGAGCCAGCTCAGGCTGTTGATGAAGTGGAACCTCTACCTGAAGACTATTACACAAGACCAGTAAACTTGACAGAGGGTAATTTTTTTAAATCATTTTATTGGGGGCTCGTACAACTCTTACCGCAATCCATCCATCCGTTGTGCCGAGCACATGTTTACATTTGTTGTCATCATCATTTTCAAAACATTTTCTTTCTACTTGAGCCCTTGGTATCAGCTCTTTTTTATTCTCCCCCCCCCCTGCACCATTGATAATTTATACATTATTATTTTTTCATGTCTTACACTGACCAATGTCTCCCTTCACCCACTTTTCTGTTGTCCATCCCTCTGGGAGGGAGTTATATGTAGATCATTGTGATCGGTTCCCCCTTTCCCCCCTATCTTACCCTTTACCCTCCTGGTATCTCTACTCTCATTATTGGTCCTGAGGGGTTTATCTGTCCTGGATTCCCTGTGTTTCCAACTCTTATCTGTACCCGTGTACAT